TTTCTTAAAAAAAATATTTCGCAATTTTTCGGAATTTCTGCACGTTTCGTTTAACTTTGATTCTAACGATTTGACATATTTTGCACTGTTTCCAGAAATTTTTCAATTTTCATTTCATTTCTCGCAACTTTTTGGAATTACAACCTTGTAATATATTTATTTTTCATAATGTCGAAGTCAAAGCAAATACGCCAACATTATTGAATTTCTGGATAAAGACTCTGATTAATTTGATGTTTTGATGGACAATTTACTTACTACACCCGGAAAATGTTCTATTTTAATTTAATAACTTAATTAAAATAGAATTTATAATAATTTAACACTTAAAGAAGTGGAACGAAATGAAACAAATAATTTTAAGTCTTAATTCTAAAATCTTGTAATAAAATTACAAGATCAGGTAATTTTTTGTTTTTGAATAAAAACTTATTTATTTGGAAAAAAATATATTAAAAACAGAGCTTTAAGAACGATTTTTTTTTAAATTTCCTGACAATGGAAGGACTATTGGTGTGCACCGTACATAAAAAATCGTATTTAAAGAAATTGATAGAGTTGCTCAGAACAGAAATTAATTTAGATGTTCTTCATAAATTTGTCTCTGTATGTCAGAAATCGAAATTTGAAAACCCTGCTTAATAATTATAACAAACTGCGACTATTCTGTAGCCTAACCAAAGTCTGTTTCTGTTTCGGTCAAGTAGCACAAGAAAATGTCTGTCATTGACTTTTACTGTCCATGCATATTTCTTTACGTAAGTTTTACGCAGATTGCAGAAATTTTTCAAAACTTCCGCTGTTCAACTTGTACGTAACCTTGCAGAAAAAGTGTACCTACAACGAGTAAAAATTATTCTTTCCGTAATTCCTTCGTCTTCAGCATGGGCGCAAACATTTTCGTTTTGGCGGAAACGCCGGGTCCACAACCATTAATTCGTATACTTATTAAATAATATAGTATCCCTACTGCGATAAAAAGTGATGCGTCTCAGGTGAATGTGACTAACCTGCACTTAACCTATTTTGTCCTATAGATTTAATCGGATCTGAACATATTTTGAGAAATTACTGCCGCATCCAAACTTATTCACGATCTGTCAGCGGCCGTGTTGCTTGTTGCATGCCGCAAGGTCATTGGTTAAAAACGAGATTTTCAATTTCACGCGTGCGCATGTTGATTGGACTTTATCAAAAAAATTTTCATAGTTGCTTCATAATTTCCTGTATTATCAAAATAGAAAGGGACTCTATATCTCTAATAGCTATTTGCATTAACTTCATAACTGTTTCCATAATTATAAAGGAATAAATAAACGTGCTTTTGCTACCCGCTTATGATCTATTAATATAAATATTTGTTCTTCAAGTGCATGGCTTGATAATGGTTTCAATGTCAGACGCCCTACGGTTACTGTCCCTCTGTTTACAAACTCCTTATCTTTTTTATATTATTTTCGTTCACAGCTCTGTAGTTTCCTACGCTACAATTTTCACACTCTTGCACCAAAATTTATTTCCATAAAGCACTGGTAAATATTTCGAATATGATTTTTGAAATGCATATGAAAAATTAGACCACAAAATAAGACAACAGCAAGGAGTATTTGTCAGAAACTGTCAGAAACTGCTACAAATGAAATAAAATTAACATGATTCTCGTCCAAATTAAGGAAGACATTTTTTTAAATAAATTATTTTAAAAAATAACGACTAAAGATTTGGGCTAATTTTTCCCAACACCAAACATCTCTTCGCTGGTTCCTTATAAAAAGAATATGATCTAATGCTGACCAAATTTTGGATATAAATAAAAAACTGTCACATTTTAAAATCCCCTATCTCGAAAACAAAGGAGTTATTGGACTTGGTTTATAAAATAAAAAGTTTCAAAAATGTCTTCAAGTGTATCAACTATTGATAGAAATTATTGCGCATACAGCGATATTTATTAAAATTATTTTGCAATAATCGAAATTCGTCGTAAAAAAATTGAACACATTCACTTAAAGGTAGCTGCATTTTGAAAGTATATTCCAACGCCTAAAAAATGTATCCCTATAACATATTATGAATAGTTTTTCAAATCGTTGCCATGCAAAAAAAACATTAGTACTTTGCCATCACCTTATACATGTAATATTAAGCTACCATATCATATTGTAATTGTTTGCACAAACTTGACGTCATTAAATTGTTGGAAAATGTAGAAACTGAGCGATTAATAAATGCTAGAATGGTTTGTTGTGCCTTTAAAGATTATTTGGGTTTTTATACTCATTTCTCGCATACAATGTTGTAACAAAAGTTATAAAGCGATTTTTATATCTTTTGGACTAACGATTAAGATTTTTTAAAAATCGAAAAAATATCATCAAGGATATCTCTCGTTTTTATTTCAAACACACACATACATACAGACAAAAACAAATTTTAAAATATTTTTTAAATTTGATAGGAGCGTATCCTAAAAACTGCGAAGAGAGAGTTTTTTCAGATCGTCATTGTAAAATAGTAACCGAATTACAAATGGAATTTCTCCTATAGGCGTATTGGTGGATAATAACTTCTATTCAAAATTAGCAATTGATGTTTATACATATTATTAATTCTCAACCAACCTAATTCACTTATTTTCGCTGATGCTTACGGAGCCCGTAAATAAATCTACAGCAAGAATTTTGAAGTTTTTGAAGTCTACACCTTGGGCGCAAGAGTTAACAAGACAAGACTCTCGCGCAGCTCCTCATTTATAATTATACGTGGTATTTTTATACAATGGGTTAAGAGCTAATATGTTTGATACCGTAGGAATAATTGTTAAAGTTTATATGAAGGGAGATAATGCAAGCATTAAGAAAGAAAACTGGACATTTTCTAAATTTCCCGCCGAGAAGATTTGCTACTCTTTGCTCTCAAGCGAACATATCCAGCTGAAAAATTGTCATTATAGTCATCTATATTTTGAAGGTTGGCTAGGATGGAAAAGTAAGTTATGATTATATTTTAAACCCGAAATTTGTACAGAAAGGTATATAGGGCAGGTTTTCTCTCTTAATAGCGACAACCACGGCATTACATAATTGTAGGCTTTCTTGTATCTGCTGTATAAGGCTTGTGTGTCGCAATCTATGGCCTTCAAATCGAGAAGAAACTAGCCGAAATTCATCAGCTTAAAATTCCTATAGCTCACTGATTTTATGACGTGAAGTAAGACGTTCAAACTAATATTGCAGAAAATTGCACAACATTCAGATTGGGAATGGAAAGATTATACTTATTAAAATAAATAACATCTAAGAAGAAAAAGTAAAACGAGTTGGCTCATCTACTAGTTGCACAAAATTATATGACTCAAAACAATGTTGAACATGACCTATAATAATAATACTGTCGAACTGCAAAATGATCTACCCATTTCGCAACATTTAATTTAGGTGGTTTTTAAACCAATCCAACCAAAAGCCTATCTCGACCAAACTCCACTGCTACAAATAAATATTCAAGTTCCCCTAGAAGAGTAAAATCTAGCAATACCAGATTTCGCTCACACACATACTATCAGCATTTGCCACTAAACTACAGAAGTGATCAAAACCGGTAGACAATCATCGTACATTATTGCATTAAACGCAATACCTACATCAGAAGGATATATTATTGGGTTGTTCGGAAAGTCATTTCGTTTTTTTTGGGGAACATGAAAGACAGTTTTCGTATAATGAATAAATATTTTATTAAATTATATATTGGCCATTCTGGTCCAACACCTTTTGCCATCTTTCTGGCAGTAACATAATTCCCCTCTCATAAAAGTTTTGGTCCTTGCTGGCAAAAAACTGGTTCAGGTGGTTTTTGACATCTTCATTTGAGGTAAAGGTTTTGCCATCCAAAAAATTTTGCAGGGACCGGAACAAATAGTAGTCGGAAGGCGCCAGATCTGGAGAATATGGTGGATGTTGCAGTACGTCCCATTCAAGCTGTAAAAGTTTTTGGCGAGTGACCAAACTTGTGTGAGGTCTCGCATTATCCTGGTGGAACACTACACCCTTCCTGTTGATTAATTCGGGCCTCTTCTCTTCAAGTGAATCATTCAATTTGTCCAGTTGATGACAATAGACTTCTGAATTAATCGTTGTATTGTCCGGCAAAAGCTAAAAAAAAAACGATTCCTTTGACATCCCACCAAACGGAGAGCATCACCTTTTTTTGGTGAATGTTGGCTTTTGACACGCTTTGAGCCGGTTCATCTTTTCTGCTCCATGACCTCTTGCGTTTAACATTGTTGTATACAACCCATTTTTCTCCCCAGTAATAATCCGCTTCAAAAATGGATCATTTTCTTGACGTTTGAGAAGCGAATCACACACGTCAACGCGACGACACAAATTTCGCTCCGTAAGGACATGGGGCACCCACACATCGAGCTTCGAGGTTAAGCCCATGCCTTTCAAATGGCCATAAACAGTCGAATTCGACAAATTTAATCTCTCACCGATCTCTCGTGTGGTTATTCGCCGATTTGCATCAACTAATGCCTTTATCGCATCTTTGTCAGCTTCGACCGGCCTTCCAGACCGTGGTGCATCTTCGACATCAAAATTGCCGGATCGAAATTTTGCAAACCAGTTCTGGCACTGGCTTACTGTTAACACGCCTTCTCCATACACATCCGTCAATTTTTTTCTCGCTTGGACAGCATTTTTACCTTTTCTGAAGTAAAAAAGTAAAATATGACGAAAATGCTGCTTATTGCTCTGCATATTTAAAAGGGCACCAACCAAAAACTACTGCGTAGAATTAATAGAACTTTTTCACACACAAGCATTGCAATATCAGCTCTCAAGACATATAATGGTTATGCGGCTTAAGTGTGAAGTTGGTTTCGAAAAAACGTAATTAAGTCCTCTGACGGGAAAAAACGAAATGACTTTCCGAACAACCTTATAATTTATTTTAATACTATTCAATTAACTCTAAATTAATAAAAAGTTACGCACTTTCAAGTGAAACTGAGGAACGAAATCCAAAACAGGCACATTTGTTTCACTTTCTCACAAGCAGCACACGCATAACCGACATCGAACGCCGAGGCGTTGACTGTGTCCTTGACCTTGCCATCACAATGTTGTTTTCATGAGCTGTTAATTTTTGACAAAAGGTCAGTCGTTAAATTCGGACGAACTCAATTAACTGCCTCTGGCATGTGTGTGTTCTGTCACTTCATCCGACAATAGTTATTAACAATATATCCGCGGCGGGAATTTAACGGTTTTAAAAATTTTCGATTTGGTTAGGAGTCAAAGTAGTTTAGTAGGGAAAATGTGATGAGAAACTTGAGGTTTAGTGGGGTAGAAATAAAAAGAGAGACAATAAGCGTTGATTGGAAGAGAATCCTGATTTTGCAGGAAAGTGAATTAGAGAGAATGTAACAGAAGAAGGGAAATACATAGAAGTTTTAGATGCAGGTGGGCAGGGCTGACACTTGGGATGGATGAAAGCAATGTGCAAGGGAATATAAGAACAGCTTGAACGAGAAGTAGGAAATAAAAAAGAGCACAAGAAAACAAATACTTTCGTGATCAGTGTTTTTGTATAATTATTATTATTATTGTTGCTTTAATTGCTTTGTAATATTATTTATAGGCTTGGTGTGCAAATTGGAATGTAAATCCCGTTGGGAAAATAAAATTTACTTAATATGAGTTAATAAAATAATGTAAAATATTTGATCCAAGCCCAGGAAATATGGAAACGCTCTCGAGAGTTTTAATTAATCAGTCAGAAAATCCGTTTCATTCATAGATTGCATTAAGTAAACCAACGGACCATGTGCCATCAGGTATTTAAGTAGATGGCTAAGTTTCTTACAACATCGTGGGCAAATAAAAAGGGTATAAAGAAGAAAAAACATTTTAGAAAACCAGTGTTAAGGTGGCTAAGTGTTGGAAGGAAGAAAAATATATTTGGATGTCTGATTTATTATTTTTCAGAAAGCCTTCTAAAGAATGTTATAATAAAAATAGTCTAAGTACAGGTGACTATATCTCTAAAATAAGTTTGAATACAAAAGTCGTTTCCAGTAAAATGATGTTTTAATTTTTTTGTATTAATTCAATTGTCACATTATATGCAGGGTGGTTAAATAAAGTTATATTTTTTTAAAGGAAACACTCTATATTTTAATACATTTTTAAATACCAATTTAGAAGGCAAATTTAAGGATACGTATGTAATTATCCATATATCGGTCCCAAATGCACCGTTATTAGCGAATATCTTAGAGATTCAGGTTGTGGAAAGTTGAAAATGTTTTTGTTACTTTTAAAACATTAGCGAATATCTTAGAGATTCAGGTTGTGGAAAGTTGAAAATGTTTTTGTTACTTTTAAAACATTTTTCTGCGTAACATATTTTAAAAAATAGTACTTTTTCGCAGACAATATTTAAAGTTGAAATATTTTTATCAAAAAAAATGTTTCGCGAAGTGTTACTTTTCTCAATTTTTTAAATCAAAACACATACAGTTTTTACATTTTCGGATAGCCCTTTAAAAGACGAATCCAATGATATATATATATATATATATATATATATATATATATATATATATATATATATATATATATATATATATATATATATATATATATATGAATATTGATCTGCGATGCACTGTTTTGAGTTTATTGACGATTTTTATCAATTCCCAGGCAATTTTACCGCAATAACCTTAATTCTGAAAGCATCTCTAATCTTTTTTGTATAAAATTGCTGTATCGATAATCATTTATTTAAAATCCTGTAAAAATTATACCGTTTTTCAAAAATAAAATTAATTATTAATTTTCCACATTGAATAATGCACATGATTTATAGCATTTAATTTTCAATTGGTCGCATTTCCCGAATTTGTGGTTGTAGTTTTAAAATGTCCACGTTATTATTTTTGTATACTATCTCTTTTAAAAGTGCCCGGAGTCCAGTATCGTTAAATCAGGGCTTCTTAGAAACGCTTTCGGAATGAAACCAGAATGGTAAGAAATTTAATTATTGAGGGAATTGATAAAAATCCGATATCCGATTCGTCTATTAAAGGAATATTGTCTAAGAAAAACTATGATTTTCTACGATTATTACGCAAAAAAATGTCTTAAAAATTAATATGCAACGTAACAAAAACCTTTCCAAGATAATCTGAATCCTGAAGATATTCACTAATAACGGTGCATTAGAGACCGATGAATAGAAGTTGTATACCTCCTTGAATTATAGAGTGTTCCCCTGTATGTAATATAGTGATAAGTGAAATGATACAAAAAAATTAAACATCATTTTACTAGAAACAACTTTTTTATTCAAACTTTTTTTTTAGTAACACTCATAGATTTCGTATAGGTATATGCCCCTCTTAAATCGGCCACCATCTACAATGTCATATGCTGCTTTTTACAAAACTTCTGGATTCCTCCTCAATCAAGTTTCAGTCAAGCTCTGAAGAAGCCAACATGATGATTGCCGAAACGTCAGCAATTTCGACTCAGCAAAAACCGACGCAGGAGGAATCCAGAAGTTTTGTAAGAAGCATTACAGTAGCCTGTGGAAGTTTCTTTGAAAAATTAATGTCATATGCCATTTCTTATACTAAAAAAATATTAAAATAAACTAATGAGTTAAAACCCATGGCTTATATAAGAGGCGTTTGCTGAAGATTCTTTATCTCTTTCAACTTCTTTTCTGTAACAGTATTTCACTTTTTTAGTTTAAATTCCAAATATAATGAAATTCAACCTTACCCCATTCACTTTCAAAAATTCTATATTAACTAAGCTATGACTTAACTAAAATAACTTTTATAGGTGCCGCAGTATCAACGTTTGATTTCAATCTTATATACGCAATTCAAAAAATCTGATTTTATATTTACTAATTTAAGAGTTGAAAAAATTGAGCCCAATGGATTGTGAGCTAGAGCTTTGGTAAACAACTGACCAAAAAGTTTTGGAATTTTTTTGCAAAAATGGATAATTTTTTTGTCGTACTTACCGTTTCATCTTGCATAGTTTTCCAGAATGTATATTTTTGACCCATATATTTTCCATTGATTATTTGTTTCTGTTGTATACCCATCCTTTTAGAAAAAGCAACAATTTTCATATATTTGGTGCAAATATGAAATTATCAGCTTCAGACCATTCGCATTCAAAGTTTATTGATTTAATCAGGAACTTAAAATTTATGAGTGACGTCAAGTGCGAATTTAACAATAAACTATATAAGTATGTTTACCTTGGTCGAAAACGTATTTGCATTAATGCTGATTTGATTTTGCGTCGAATCCAAATCAGAAAATTGCCTCACAAATTGTCGCGAAGGTTGAGACTAATTGATGATGCGAGTCTCTGGGTTCCTGAGTCACGTGCCAAGGCTTCCCGAATTGACGATTACTGATGATAGATAGGATGCGTAATACGATATAGCGACTTAAGACCGAGTTTCTTTGCTTAGTTGAATTCATTTCACTGAGATTTTTTAATTTGAATTTAAATAAAATTATGAAAAATAGTCTAAAAAACTTTGCAATATATGGAAAAAAAGATGATTCATAAAGTCAGTTGTGGTACGGCGGAAAAATTGAACAAGCGGATTGAAATCGTCAAAAATTTCAAATTCAATGACAAGGAATATTTAACGAATAAAACGTGTTTAGAATTTAATTTTAACTAGATACTCCGAATAGTGAGCTTAGTTTAGTTTATGTAAACACTTTACGAATGAAAACATCTGCATGTTGGTATATTACATATATTCTGAGATAGACCTTAATGAAAAGAAATGAACCATCATGAAGTATTTAAAGAATGTTTATTAATCTCGGAGAATATGCATTCCAAAAAAGTTTATACAAAATAAAAAATAATTTAAGATGCTTTCAGTCTTGAATCTTATTCTTAATCTTAGAGAACTATTTTTAAAATATTTCCTGTCGTCCTACTTCGTGTGTATACTTTTTAAACTAGTTAACAGTTCGAGTATAGTATATTATGCAACAAGTGCGGTAAACGCCACGCAGCGTAGCGATTGTTTAATAAATGAGTGACTTAAAAAGTTTACCGAACGTGTTGCATACTATACTTTTTCTACGACCGTTAGTTTTTGGGTACATTTTCACCAAACAACACGAATACATTCACTGACATGGCCGTCAGAATTGACAAACGTCAAATTCAAGGCGTGGGAAATATCTCTGAAATCATCCGATTGCTCCCAAATCCGTGCGGTAAAATTCGAGAAATGCCTGAAGTGGCTCGAATCCGTGGTAAAGTGACGTTTCCCGCACACTAGATCGGTAGGTAATTAGATATTTCACAGACGGGAGTAGAAAAAAAATATAATTATTTTGGAGGAATGAGCCCCACCAACCAAATATTCAAAATTTAATAATATTTATAATTAATATAAATTAATACAATATCTGTACGTTGGTTTAATTAGATCTTTGTTATCGTGAATCGACTTTCCAAGCAATTACCATCTGACCAATCTATACCAGACTTTAAATAGGGTCAATGACGAGTACTTTGTGTCAACATGTCGGACGGCTCCTGTTACCTCTCATTCTTCTTAGAGCTCCCAACAATCCACCTAGTTTGCAAGAGAGTTGATAAAATGTAGTTCACGACCAAATTCGAAATGTTCCCCTTTGGGAGTGGAAATAAGAAGCTCTAGAGATTTAAGCAGAGAAACCCGTATGCAGGCGAACAAAACATCCAGAATTGCAGGATACCGGAGAGATATAATTTAAAAGAACAAGTACATGGCCACTGAGAGCTAATATGCTGCAACAGTGCTAAACATGTACCGTAGAAACAAGGGCAGAAAACAAAGAGATCAGAAATGAGACCATAAGAACTCCAAGGAAGGATTAGATTACTATTTTGTCATGTAGATAAAATGAATGAGAACAGAAGGGGAAAATAGGTCAAAGACATTAAACCAAACGCAAAACACCTCGTGGCCGAGCTCTTAGATGGTCTGAAAGCT